ATTGTTCCCTGGCAGGGTGGGCAGGCCCTGGCACAGGGTGCCCAGAGCAGCTGTGGCTGCCCCTGGATCCCTGGCAGTGCCCAAGGCCAGGCTGGACAGAACTGGGACAGTGGAAGGTGTCCCTGCCATGGCAGGGGTGGAACTGGATGGGCCTTGAGGTCCCTTCCCATCCAAAATATCCTGGGGATACTCTGATTCTAAAAACTACAGGAACCACATCCAGCTGTTCCACATCCCTTCTGGTCCTCCAAGAGAATTGTGAGCAGGAGACAGCAGGGCAAACTTGAAGACAGAGCTCCCATAGACATAAGTTCCTGTAAGATGGCTTTGATACACAGGCATAATTCTTGTTTTGGAGTGGTTCTCACAGCAGTTTGGCTCATTAAATAATATAAAATCAAACACACACATCAGGAAAGGTTCTGTTTGCTGGATGTGTTGGTCATCTTGGCTTTCCCAGCTTTAGAATCACAGAATATCCTGAGCTGGAAGGGATTCATAGGGATCATTGATCCCACTCCTGATCTCAATAATCCCACCCTGGAGCAGTGTCCAAGCTCTCCTCGAGCTCTGGCAGCCTCAGGGCTGTGCCCATTCCCTGGGGAACCTGGGCAGTGCCAGCACCCTCTGAGAGAAGAACCTTTCCCTGAAATCCACCCTAAACCTCCCCTGGAACAGCCCCAGCCATTCCCTGGTTCCTGTCTGTGGTTGCTGAGAACTGAGGAACCTCTGGGAATGATCTGCTGCCAGCTGCTTTTCCAGAGAGAGAATTTCACAGGCAAGTGCCTTCCCCAGCAGCCTCGAAGAACCAGCTGAGAGAGTCATGCAAGATTTCTCCTTCCTCCCTCTCTCCTCACCTCAGATCAACCCCGTGCACGGAGCCTCCAGCTCTGCACTCATCTGTGAGTCACTCGTGGCACCTACACAGGTGGAGCCACCTGAAGCGAGCTCCAGCAGGGGCAGGCTCTGTGCTGCAGGGAGGACACCGTGTTCCCTGGGCTGGGAACGTCTCCCTGCCCTGGCAGCTGCTGCTGCAGAGGCTGCTCCTCCTGCCATGGACACCAGGGAGCTCTGAGAATGAACCAGCCCCAAACTGCCACCAACAAAAGGAAAAGGAGGG